TTTCAAGCAATTGCCTTTTGAACTTTTATTGGTTTTCGAATGTTGTGTCGGCGATAGTGGACCTCTAAAACTAATACTAAAATATACACACATATCTACTATATATAAATATTGTATGTACTTGCTCACATGTTTAGCCGCCAAATGCTATATTATTTTGTCAGCGCATATTTGACATGCTTCACCGCCGATTGCAATTGATCTGGCGGTGATGTCGCTACTAACCGGCGAGCACCACACCGCGCCGCATAGCACAACAGCAGTGAGCAGCACCAGTTGCTCGCTCGCTCGCTGCTCCTGCCGGCCAGCGCTGCAATTACCACACCCCATCAGCGCCGCCGAGTGAGTTCGTGAGTGGAGTGTCCATTGCCACGAGTATGTCATTTAGTGTTGATTGCCAATTTAATGCCGGTATTTTAATGCACAAATGTTTGTATGTATGTATGTATGTAGATATGTAAAAATGTGTGTATATTGTTTACACAACGCCCCCCAACTTCACTGCCACAGTGGAAGGGAGCATTGTTCGTTGTACTTGTTGCATTCCTAAACGCTGTTGTTATTATTGTTGTTGTTGTCGGCGTTGCAGTGGAGGTCGCTTCAATGTTGTACGACATTTTATGTGCACCATACACAGGCGCATACATACATACACACGTATGAAGTACGCTTCGTCTATTGTCGCTTACGTAGATTTTCGGTCATTGGACGCTGAAGTGGAGTAGTAGCAATCACCGTTTAGCGTGTGGTTTCGAGCATACACACACACACACTCACATACAAGAAAAGTATGCTCGCTTTGGTCTATTATTGATTGCAAAGCCACAAACAGGCGCACTTATGGATATACGTGTGTTTGTGTGTATGCATGTATGTTGGTATGTGTGCTCGTAGATAAGTGCGCACAAATTAAGTTATACTCATGGAAGTAACCGCATAAAGAGCAGATATGCTAATAAGTAGCTGGTGAACTATGGTAGTTGCTGTTTTGCTTGATGATTAACAGCCTTCAGCCATCGAGCACCGGCTACCAGCCACTGGCTACTGTCTGCCGTCTGCTGGCGAGTTTTTTTTTTTTTTTTGCATACTTATATTAAAATATTTTCACTGGCATTTGTCTGCGAATGTGATTTGTGCAGTTGAAGACTCGCACAATGCAATGAAGAAAACAAAAACTATCAAGAAATGGGAAAGTAAATTGAATTTGTTGTTGTTAAGCTATGCTATAATTTCTATTGAAACCACTTTGAAGTGGGTTACGAACGGTTTTCGCCAGTTTTAAAGTTTCGCCAGTGCACTAGTTGGCTTTTGTTTACTGGAGTAATGATGGGTATTGAATAGCGGCTCATCTATTGATTTGTGGTTTTTAGTAATCTTTTATATTAACTACAATGCATTTTTCGAGGGTTAGGCCAGTCTAAAGCACTCAAAAAGGGTTTGACTTTGACAATTTATTTTGTAAGTAAGCAACAATGAATCGAAGCCGTTCAGGCTTTACTAAACATATACTTGTGTGCTTCAATTTGTTTTATACTCTTGCAACATGTTGCTACAGAGTATAATAGTTTTGTTCACCTAACGGTTGTTTGTATCACCTAAAACTAATCGAGATAGGTATCGAGTTATGTATATATACATATATAAATAATTAGGATGACGAGACGAATTGAAATCCGTGTGACTGTCGGTCCATCCGCCTGTCTGGGCAAAGGATAACTTGAGTAAAAATTTAGATATTTTGAAAAATTAGGTTGTTTCTGTAAATGGGCTCCGATTCCGCCCATTGCCACAAAACAACATCAAACGAAAACATTTGAAATGCCATAACTCAGCTGCAAAATAAGTACAAAACTGTAATTTGGTACAGGAGATCGCAAGATCGTAGTAGCCAGAGACACCAGTGGGCAAAATTTTTTTTAAAGTGGGCGTACCTCCGCCCCTATATAGTTTAATGTATATGTCAACCAAACTTACTGAGAAAAAGTACCTTTTTTTACCTCTTAAAACTCTGTGAAAATGGTTGAAATCGAATAATAACTACGCCCACTCCTCATTTAACGGTTATGTTGAAAACTACTAAAGGTAGTTGGGATCTGGTGTGAAAATTGGGCGTGGTACCGCGTACATTTTGGTGAAATCACATATCTCCGAACCTACTCCACCAATTTCAACCAAATTTGGTGCATAAGATTATTTTGATATTTCCATGTGCGAAAATGAACGAAATCAGACAGTAAGCCTACTCCCCAATCTTTGAGATATTTAATTGAAATTCAGGGAAATTGTTCTTTTGATAATAATATACCGTTCTGTCAAAAATGGATTCAATCAGATCCCCCATATACCTAATATTTATAAAGATTTCCCAGTTGAATTTATACCCCATATATTGTCCAATATGTAAATTATCTTCCTTCCTTAGCCCCCATATAGCTGATATTTACGATTTCGAAACGTCTAGCTGATTTTACTCCATATATGCATATTTTTATATTTTTATATTTATAAGATTGCTTGAAAATTAGTCTCAAGTATACCTGTGCAATATCAAAAATGCCCTTCTATTTCTATGTCCCCAATGATTTTAGGATAATTTTCGCTGACTGGAAGTAAAATATAGTAAGAGCACCAAGTGAGTCTATGGCCTCCAATATTGTTAATGTGATACCAAATTTGATTGTAATCCATTAGTTTTGCCAACACCTGAAGGTATTTTCTCGGCTTTGATCCTTGCAAGTTGCAAGAGTATAAAATGTTCGGCTACAACCGAATTTAGCCTTTCCTTAATTGTTATTTTTGCTCAACTTATAGCTGTTTTTAGCGTAAGCAAATATTCTCTAAATAATTTTGAGGAATGCTTCCGTCCCGTTCACATCACATATATTTCACGACTGTCGTGGAAATGGCTATATACGAGAATATAATTCTTATTGATAGTTATTGTAATGCTGTTTGGTTTATCAAATATTGCCGCGAACTGAGTCTGAATTTCCCATTTTAAATCAAAAATACGATATCTCTATTGGTATTTTATAGGCTCTAAAAAGTATACAAACCCACGTATATCCAACACACCAAATTCATTTAGTTATTCGCAATCTACATATCGATCATTTGGTGCTCAAACCAGAGCTGAGGAGACAACGAGGAAAGACGAATGGGCCATGCCGCACGCTTTGTCTGTTCGTAACAGTTCGCTGTGATATGAAATAAAATCCATAAGATTGTCCAATTTAAGTTGGCGGACTCCTGTTGCTCGTTTGAACGTAATGTGCGACAACAAAATAGAATTTGCCGATTATCAGCGATAAGAAAGCCTCGTGTGAACGCAGTCTTACTAATCAGGACGCATTTATGTTGAAAATTAAAATTGTTTATTATTTAATTTATTATTTAATTTATTAAAATGAAAAACTAAAATGAAATATATTCTATATTTATCTTAAAAAATATTAATATTAACTTTACATCTGCATATTTTGCTGTTGAGATTTTAGTGTTTTTATGCACAAATTACGGTAACTGATAAGACATGCAAATCCTGCGAAAATGGGTTCATACGAATATTTTCAATAAAAAAACATTTTTATGAAAACTTATTACTTTCACTTATCAAACAACTTTTACCAACTCAATTTAAAAACACTTAATTATATTAATTACGCGCTTATAAACTGAAATTTAAATAAATAAAAATAAAGCAAGCAAGCCCCTTTGCTGGTGTGATATTCTCAGTCAAATTATTAAAATTTCCGGCCAATTGTATGCTTCACCTAGTTACGGTGCGAATATTCATAAATACAAACATGCATATATAGGTACTGGTATATGTATATATAAACAAATATATACATACGAGTATTACGAAGCAAGCGTGATTATGCCACCTGGTTTCTGTGTATCACAATATTTTTTATTATTTTCACGTGGCAAAAATACAACAATTACTTTACTTGCACATACATATATATATACACACACACATAGTCTCACACTATTTTTTAGCAGTCATTCATTACCTTGCGAATTCATTGATACGCGCACCCTAACACCTCACGCCTGTGTGGACACAGGAAATGGCATGATATGTGTATAGACCATATATATGTATTCGTAAGTGTAATTTGCATGTTCCAATTTCACAAGTAGCCTTGCACACGTGTCCCTAGTTCACATTTGAAATGTTTGCCTTTTTGCAAAATATATTTTTTATCAACGAATCTATTAGTTTCACCCCATTTCGACAATTGCGCATAATCAAATTTAGAAAATCACTTTCAGTAGCACAAGCGTGTATGTATTTACATATGTACAAGTATGTACTTGTAGGTATGCACACCGGCAATAGTCAAGTAAGCGAAGGTAAAAACTATAAAATCTCCCACAAATTCGCACGTTTCAGCTCGAGTCTCCTACATTGCTCTCATTACACACTTTTTGCTGTCAAGCTTAAGCGCTGGTACTAAGTGCCAAGCTTTTTCAAAACACCACTATTATATAGTATATAAGTATGTATATACATACGCACATATTGCACGTAGTTACTGAGTTTTGTATAAAATAAATATGATTGTTTTCCCCCATAAACCACGTTTGAGCGCAAATATGAAATCTGTTTCGCAATGTCCGATCAAGCTGAAAGATTTCTATGCAATTATTTAGTAGCGACGTGTCAGCAAAACGCTCTGGTTGCGCCATTTGTTTATATTTCAAGCGCAATTATTTTATACACCTATTTTCAGTTCGCTCCACTGAAGCGGCTAATTTCCATAATTTCCCCAGTTGTGGCTAAAGTGTTTCAAGTGCAAGTAATTATTGTGAGTTTTATTTGTTTTATTTTCAAAATTTCTTATTCTTTGATCTTACCCATAATAAAAAAATCGTTGTGTGAATAATAACATTCACTTACGAATTTGTTAAAATTAACACTCTTGTGTAAAAAATCCGATTGTATTGCAATAAAACTAATTTCCGCAATTTTTCCTCTCTTTATTTTTTAGCAAAATGCAATTTCGATCAGGAAGATAAGCCGCACCGTTTGAGTCTGGATGTGGGCGATTCGGTTGTGATACTGAAGGACACAACACATTGGTATTATGGTTACAAGCAGAGGTGAGTTAAGCTAATATGAAAATTTTGAAACTGAATGCTCGAAAATATTATCCAACTACCCAAATATTTTCATTTTTAATTCAAATGTAATATTTTTACTAATATCATTAAAAAATATTTGATTCGCTCTTATTTAATAAATTGATTATATTTATTATATTGTTTTTTGTAAGCGATTTTTATTTACCGGCTTCAAACATATATGCAAATATTAATAATTTTTAAAAGTAGGTAGATTGGAAAATATTCATAAAAAGTATCGATAACAAATATTGGAAATATCGATAGACGAGTTTTAATTCCCTCCTCCAAATATACATGCATTCAAATATTATAATACCATACGAACTGCAAAATTCGAGATCGATAGCTTAAAAACTGAGGGACTAGATCGCGTTAATACAGACGGACGGACATGGCTAAATCAGCTCAGCTAATCATGCTGATCATTTATGTATATATTTTATAGGGTCTTCGAAGTTTCTTTCTAGGTGTTACAAACTTCATGGCAAACTTAATATACCCTGTTCAGGGTGTAATAGGGATTGCTACAAAACGAATTTATAAAAAACTAAAGTTTTATTTCACATTATTTTTATTCTTAAGGAACATACCAAGTAACTAAACTGTCAAGATTAATACTTAACTTTATCTATTTTTGCATTTTTTTCGATAAATTAAATTAACTAATAAGATATTAGTGCTTCGAGAAATTATTCGACGTAAAGATCGTTTTTCCAGTAATATCTTGTTAAGCGACGCATAAGCTAAGTTTCTAAATGAGAAGAGTAAATATATTTAAATTTTTTTTTCGTTTTATGAAGCCTAAGTTCGATAACTAATTTGGAAACTCAAATGATCTATGAGACCTTTGTTCGCATTACTTTGAGAGCCCCCGTTGACACGACTCTCTCAGCCAATGAGTTTGAGTTTTAAGCAATTTTAAGCAAAATTAACTAGTTTTTTAATGGCATTTTTAACAACCGCACGAAGTAAAATATATAATATAAATAAATGTGTCTTACACTCTTTCGCAATTTTTGTGGCTTCCAGCAAACTGAAAATTACATGAGAACATGTGTCTATATATCTTATTAATTACCCTGTATGAAAAGTCGATAGTAAAACTGGGTCACTAACGACTTCCGAGATAATATTCTTTGTTGTGAATATTTGGTATATGTATGTTTGGCGAGAGAGAGACAGTTCATTGCCAAAATCACCAAACAGTTACCCCAAAAAGTAGACCAAAGACGTGACTTGAGAATACACGATCTTATGATTTCATCAGGGCATGAAAAAAAAAATGTTTACATATTTTTATACGACTCTTTATTATCGCCTTCATAATAGGCTACTTTTGCGTAGTATAGTGTGGAAATCTATACACTTGATATATAAGGTTAAGTAAAAAGTTGGTTCGGTTTTTTTAATTACTTTTTCAAAAGATGACAACTTTGTGTACATTTGTCCGATTTAAGTCAAATATGCGCCATTTTGTTCGTAAACTTGTTGCCAACGAGATGCCAACTTCATTATACCCCTCTCGTAGAAGGCTGCGTCCCTATTGACAAAAAACTCGGAGAGAGCAAAACCTTCCTGGCCGTCAATCAGGTCTTGGCCACCGTCTGGGCCGCTTCCCCGAACTTTGACCACCACCGTTTGCGCTCGATGTTATCGTAAGTGACCCATTTTTCATCGCCAGTCACAATCCGCTTGAGAAACGGGTCGATTTTGTTGCGATTCAGCAGCGATTCGCAGATGGAAATTCGGTCCATCATGTTTTTTTGCGTTAGCTCGTGTGGCACCCAATTATCGAGCTTCTTTTTGAATCCAAGGTTATGCAAATGGTTCCAAACTGTTTTCTTATCTTTAGTTCCTCAGCAATTAAATAAGTGCTCACGTGAGGGTCTGTTTCCACTATCTCCATGATTTTATCGCAATTTTCGACGACAGGCCTCCCGACGGGTGGTGCATCTTTGACATCGAAATTACCGGAACGGAACCTAGTAAACCACTTTTTTTGCTACACGTTCGTTTTCAGTATCGGGTCCATAAACTAAATTAATTTGTTCAGCCGCTTTGGCTGCTTTTTCGCCTTGATCGAAGAAAAATTTTAAAATATAGCGAATTTTCTCTTTGCTGGTGTCCATCTTTGACGAACGCTCACTACGTACTAAGTCAATCAATCGAAAAACTGTCAAAGACAAACTTTTAGCACGAATAAACACGTTTTCAGCGCCGTATAGCGTGACATGATGCGACACGTAACACCTCCTATGGACAATAACGCCATCGAACTTTTTACTTGACCTAATAAATCTCGGCTGGGATGGGATTTTGATTTTTTTCGGTTTCGGCTCACATTTGGAGCACCATTTGCTAGATGGTTGGATAGCTTCGACGTAATATTCATAAACCCACGTCTCATGACCAGTAGTGATGCGTTTGATAAATGTAGGGCCCTCAGCTACATTTTCAAGCATCTCTTTTGCGTTCTCTACCCGACGTAGTTTTTGCAAAAGATTCAGATCTTTTAGTACAAGTCTAGCACTGACTCGCTTTATACCCAAAATACTTACCAAAATGAGTTGAGTCAATTCATAAGAGATGTTAAGATCCTCTGCTATCTCTCTGATGCCAACACTACGATTTTCAAGCACTGTTCCTTAACTTTTTCGATGTTATCGTCAGTGTCAGAGGTGGATGGACGACTCGCATGAGGTAAGTTTTCGATGACTTCACGATCTTCACTGAAAGCTTTGTGGCACTGAAATACTTTTGTTTCCATGGTAAAAATAGCCCGAAAAAATTTTGGCGGCGTAAACAAACAGCTGCCAACGGAATAATTAAAATATGGAGATAAAACTACACACGAACATTAAAGAAGATTGTACCAATCTAGGAATTTTTTTATCGATTCGATTTGCTTGCTCGCGCGGTTTAAATGGCTCAATTCGGTTCAAATTAGATCTCTTTAGATTTTAGAAGTGGCAAGATAAAATATTTTGTTTTAAGCTTATTTTTACCTCAGACAGTTTACTATAAATGGACTAGTCCGAGTCAATTTTGATCAGATGTTATTTTCGAAAAATTTGGTTCTTAGGACTGCTATTATTTTGATCACAACTGTACATATGCAAGTGTGTACGTGCGGGTCCACCTACTCACAACATCAACTTCTGCCGCATTATCTTTCAATATCTTCATATATCTGTTGTTTTACTTAGAAAATAACAATTTGTAGATTTTAATTGAAATGTTGATTCGTCTTATTTGTACAGGTTGGTTGAAAAGTTTCTGCGCTCGAAAAAAATACTGTTTTTGATAGAAATATGTTTTTTATTCATTACAATCTCCCTTAATTTCAATACACTTATTCCAGTGATCCTGCAATAGTTTAATGCCATCACTATAATGACTTTTCGGAAGCTCTGCAAAATGCCCGTCTACGGCTGTAATAGCTTCTTCACTCGACGAAAAACGCTTTCCACGAAGGAATTGTTTCAGGTTTCTGAAAAGAGAGTAGTCGCTGAGAGCTAAATCTGGTGAATACGGTGGATGCTCAAGCAATTCGTATTTTAGTTCGTTGAATTTTGTCATTGTTAAAACACCTTTGTGAGCAAATTCATTGTCTTGATGAAAAATGATTGCATGGTCTTTTCAGGTCTTTTCTCACGAATTTTTTCATCCAGCTGATCCAAAAGACTGCAGTATATTCAGAGTTGATTTTTTTACCTTTCTGCATATAATCAAGTAACAAAATTATTTTTGCATCCCAAAAAGCTGATGCCATAACCTTCTTTGCTGTTGGTTGTGACTTCACCTGTTCTTATTTCAATTTAGAATCATGGTGGTGATCCAAGTCTAATTCATAGTTATAAAACGATGCAAGAAATTAGTTTTATTCTGCTTAAAACCCTCCAAATGATGCTGAGAAATTTGTATTCGATCCAGTTTTTGTTGAATTATTAACGTGTGCGACACTAACTTTCCAAACAGCTTTTTCATATGTAAATCTCCATGTAAAATATGAAGTACTCGTTCGTCTGAGATGCGTATGGCATCAGCAATTTCACGCTTGGTCAAACTTGGATCTTCACTAGCAATATTATGAACTTAATTGCTCAATGCTTTTTGGTGTGGTTGCTGTTTTTGGTCGTCCTTCGCATGGATCGTCCTCAAGTCTAGTACGACCTACGACCACGTTTAAATTCACCAGCCCAAAATTCAACGGTGCGTTTTGAAGGTGAGGACTCCTTATAAACTTCTAACAATTGTTCATAAATTTCATTTGCTTTTAAATCTTTCAATACAAAGAATCTAATCACAGCGCGTTATTCCATTTTTTCCATATTAAAAAAATACTGACACGTCAACTTTAAATGGCTTGTATACAAAGAATTAATTGACAGAATGACTAGTAACTTTGCATGTGTTCTCACGAAAGATGTACGAACTTGAAAAAAAATTTGGTGCTAGTAGTTCTATTTCTTGGTGAGAGCAGAAACTTGTTAACCAACCTGTATGCATGGTTATACCAAATAATTAGTTTTTATGACAAATTGCTAAATCGCTTCCGTTCACACAAAGTTTTGTATAAATAGTAAGACTGTGTGCATTTGTGCCGGCAACAATATCGTAAATGTATGTTATGTTTATTAATATCAGTTTCCAAACCACACTGTTTCACAATCACTCTCGCATGCGACTGCAAACACATGTTGGCACTCCTTTATTTGCAATAGCAACACACATTCATACAACCGTATGTTAATAATTGCTGCCATACTGATTAACATGCCTCCGGATCGTCCCTATCACCGCGAATGCCACAAGTCAAGCAATACGCATACTGCGCAAGTGTACACACACACACTCACAAGCATTTGCGACTCCTTGCAATGCAACACAATTTTTCGAATTCCTCGACATGTGTTGCGTGACGTGGCAAACGGTGTAAAAATCCCGTTGTGCGGCGCCATATGATTTGCACACACACATTGCCAAACAACGATCGCCGATCAGCGATCACCGCTTGACATTTGCAAACATTTGCCGGCTTTCATCCTGTCCGCCTCGGATATTTACTTCTGCTTGCTTGCCGACCTTCTATCATCGCTTGTCTATTTCTCAACACCCTTTACAATGCCTTGTTTTGTGCTCAATTCGCTTTTCGTTGTTTTTTTATGACTTGCTTTATCAAATCGTGCATTTAAACAAACAACAATTTCACACCATAAATGATAAATGAGTGGCGTTTGTTTGGATACATGTTTACGAGTATGTGTGCGTTGCTGTTATCTACAGTTTCCTTCGTAGCTGGGCCTGTCATTCTCGGTGTTTTATCTATGGTACACTTATGCACACATACATATTAACATGTGTAACCATAACCGCCGTTTGTGCCCACTGACCTCTCCAACGTTTCACCCATCCACTTAAGACCTGATAAACCCTGCATTGGCCACTACTGGCCAGTAGTTTCAAAGCATAGAAATTCAATTTTAAACTTGAAACTTGTGTTTGTATATGCATGCATGTATGTATGTATGTACTCAGTGCAGGTTCTTATCATCAACTCTAGTGTTGACTGACTGCAGTGACACCACACATTTCGAATGCCTCCGCTGGTAAATCTTTCGCTTCCTATAGTCTATAAGCCACACTTATGTGTACAAGTATGTGTCCATATGGTATGTTTGTATTTAATTTATGTTTTCCCATTTTTTTATATATTTTATATTTTTTCCATTTTTATCTTCATACACCATTAACGCGCAGCACTGACCTCTTTCATATTCCAACTGACCCGTGCTGTCCACACACACTTACTTACTTGAAAGACATTGCGCGCACTTACACTCATACAAATGCGTGATTAAGTGCGCCGCGCTGGGTTCGGAAATGACAGCAATATGATTCAATAAAAGTGAAAAAATAAATGACAATAACAAAATGTTCATAAATGAAAAAAAAAGAAAATAAATAACAAAATAATAAAAAAAAACTGGCAGCGTGTCGAAAGGGTCAGACAAATAAAAGAGTTAAAATGAAATGCTTAAATGTGGAAATTGATTGAACATCTTCATGAGGAAATATCGAATAAAAGCCCCACAAAATTTCTTAATTTTGTGTGTCTTTCTCACGACTTGACCGATATGATTACTAACATTGACCGAATTGGAATGTATTTTTTATCATTAATTGCTCTAACGATGTGAAAAAAATCAACATTATCACATATATTTATTTTATTTCATAATTCAAAATATCATATTTGTGATAACGGATATTTTTGCAGAAATTTCCGTATAATCTCAGTAGAATCATAATTTATTTTGCAATTATTATATGGCCTACATAGTTAAGTTTCAAATACAAAATGTTCTGAGGTCGCCCAAATTATGTAAGACGATGTGTGTATAGTTGCCGGTCTTGGCGACTATAACAGTATTTTATATTGCGTATGGCTACTGACTACTTTTAGTCTACTTGAAAACGCAGACAGCGTCATTGGTTATACAATTTTCGAGAAACACTGGCAGCATTGCACAAATTTGTAAGAATTCGTAAAAAGAAACCGACTCTGGTTATTTCATAGTCTACCATATGATAAAATTTAACCAAATCAATAACTATTTATTTTCTAGCTTGGTACAACCTTTTCGTTCGTGTGAAGTTTGATCTCCATTTGCCAATTAGTGTTGGTAGTTGCTTGTTTAAGATGCGAAAAGTTTTTCTGGCGATTTTTACCATTTAGTAAATCTGAACAGTGAGTTTGCTTGAAATTTTGTGATTCCAATGGAACCATGACTACGATATCGTTAAAATTGCTGCAAAAGTGTGACACAAAGCATACAGTTAAGGTCTTGGAGTAATCAAAAACTTGCCTCATGCGAGTCGTCCATCCACCTACATATGTTAACGAAGATAACATTGAAAAGTTAAAGAAACAGTGCTTGAGAGAAAAATACCAGAGGAACTCAACATTTCTTATAAATCGACTCAATACATTTTGGTGACAAGCCATGGGTTTATGAATATGACATCGAAGCTATCCAACAATCTGTCATTGACGACAATCTCAGCCGTGGCTTATAACAAGTGGATGAAAAATTTGAAGCGTTGGCATGCTTTTATTGGCCCAGGAGCCTATTTTGAACGCGATACTGAGGATTTTATCAGGAATATGATATATGATAATGAAGAAGTACACCTAGTGGTTACTAAACTCTCTTTATAGTTATCTTTATACATTTTAATGGGGCTCTATATTACTCTAACAAATGATCGTGGCGGCCTACTGTTGGTTTAAGTGCTTCTGTATTCGTTATGTAGAGCCAGATGTAGATTCAAATTTTTTTTTTTTAATTGATTAACACCATTAAAAGTATATTCGATTAAGTTCTTACATATGTACATAAAGTGAAGCTTCTCCTCCGATTTGAGTTAAGATATTCGACAAATTTAAATTGATACTTCCATTAAAAAGTATTTTCATAACATTAAGAAGCTTTAATTTCAGAAACAGCATTTCAGAGCGTTAAGTCTCATTTTATGATTGATTCTTATTGAACATCATTTAATTATATCTCTACATAAAGTATTGTCTACATTTAAGAATAGGCTTGAAAGAACCATATGAAATTGTATAAAAAAAGTTTCAAAAGCATATACATTTCAGCAGCTAATTTCCTGTTGATTGGTTAAAGATATCTTGATATTGCGTTTAGTGTACTTCCATTTATTTAATATTAACTAATTTTCAATAATATTTTTTTTTGTAATGACTGTCAAAGTTAAGCTTCACGCTTTAATATACTTTCTAACAAGCTTTCACGAAAAAAGCTGATTTATTATAATTACAAGGCTTAGAAGACTGCTCAATACAGCTAAATTCATAAATACAAAAAACATGGTCTAAAAGAAAAATATCAAACGTTTTAGCATTGTATAAAAATTCGGTTACCCGTATTTATGTGCCGCAAGCAGTGTTACAACAAAAATACATACATCTGTACTTTTTTACTTCGAATGCATTTTGAACTGTTTTCTATTTTCTTCTACACCGCTTCACCTCTAACGCCTAAACAACTCGCCAGCCACTTTTGTTTTGGTCAACTTCATGTGAAGTATGTAAAAACAATTCTTCGGTTAATGACCGTAACCTTAGCGCGTGAAAAAATAATGAACCGTTTTTGTGGAAGTACGTGCCTTTGTATGTACATATATGCATGTGTTTATGTTTATTTTATTTCTCTAAGATTTTCTTTCCTCCGAAAGTACTGGGTAGTCATTGGTAAGTTTCACAATTTTCGCGCAAAATCGTTAATCTCAAAGTAAAGTGAGCTTATAACCACAATTGTAGCGAGTTGAATGTAATATAAATACCGAATATTCAATGTGTAATGCATATATACATACGTACGCGATAATTAAAAATTACCTTTTTCATAAAGACCAGCCATTCATTGCAAAATGCTCCTCTACATGTAGGTGTGTAATTGTGTTGCGCTTGCGCCGAACGGTTTACTGGCGGATCTTTCCTTAGTGGTTTCTTCAAGCTATAAGCTAACAATCTAATAATTGTTATCTGCTGTGCTGTGTGCCTCTCCCTCCGCAGAGAACAATTTTCTACGACATTTTTGTGCGAGGCATGCTTTCTTGTACCCCCTTTTGTCTAGCACACAGATATAGTATACATAAATGGCCGATGACACTCGTCAGAATTTGTGCCCATATTTGTCATTGGTCTGTTACGCTTTTGTTGTTGTTGTGGTTAATAATTTAGTTGGTTCTTGTTTTTATGGCGTTTATTTTTTTATACTTTTTTTCTTAGCAATTCATCAAGAATTGCGCCACACTATGTCACATACGAATGTATGTCAGACATATGTCCACATAAATACAACAACCATTCTTTTATACATTTTTACACACATATGTATATATAAGTAAGTGTGTTTGGTGGCAAAACTGCGAATCTTGTCTTCCCATGCTTGTCATGCGCGCTTTATTAATTGCCTCCTGCCATATTTATTAACGCAGATATTTTTAATTTCAGTTATTTTTTCCATTCACATTTCTTTCTTTTTCTTTTTCTCTTTATTAAATATTTTTTATTGTTTTCATATTTCTTGCAGGCATAAAGAACAACGCGGCATATTTCCGAAAAGCTACATACATCTGTGCGATTACACAATCGTCAATGGCGAGTACTGCATCAAACGTACAGAGATCGTTGAGGAAATCACCAAAGTTCTTTTGGAATGGGGCTCCATATTGAAACAGTATTTTTTGGTGAGTACAAGTGTTAACTGTCTCTCACATATTTCATTAATTTTCATGAATAAAACGCTAATTTAAACATTTACTGCCATTCTGCCCTATCTTACTACAACAATAACGGTTGTTTTAATCCATATAAACCGTTTATTTTCATTCATTTGCAGATCACACATCGCGACTTTAATTCTATACGCGCAAAAATGATCGAGTTGAATAATAATCGCGCACTGCTTATATCGGGCAATTTGCCTTTGGACGAGATGCGTAAAGTGAAGCTGATGGCCACATCGCAAATCGACACAGGAAACAGTCTGCTGGGCTTAGATATGGTGGTGCGTGATGAGAACGGCGACATATTGGATACAAATGCGATATGCACAACGGAATTGTACGAGCATCATATGAATGCGCAGGACCGCATTTTCAAAGCGAACGTAGGTTTTTTTGTTTTGTTTTTACATAAATATATTTATTTGCTGGTATTTATGTAGTTTATATGTATACTACAATAATATGTATTTATTTCCGTATGGTAAATAATCGTAGTATATATATATGTACTTATATTTGCGTTCTCTGTAACCATAATAAAAAAATCAAACTAAACTGTTGCTTCTTTTCAGTTATTGCACTTACCAAGGTCTTAGCTTCTGTTTTAAAAATAATTTATTATAAGTAGAATAGCGGTATTACAACTCATAGCAAAATGTTCCTTAAGTTTTTTGCGTGATTATTTTGCTTTCTTCATTTTCAATATAATTTTTTTTACTATTATAATTTTTAAAACACTTTTTATAAAAGTTAATTATTTATTGGAAAACACAAATGTACTTATGTATAGACAAATAAATTCTCCACTATTTAAGCTTAAATACTTTATGTCCAAAATTCGTTTTTGCTAAATACTTCCTAATCTCAACAAAAATTCCGATTAATTGAATATAAAAATAAATTCTGTACAAAGCAGAAGATAGTCTACACAAACAAGTAAATCATATAAATACTACCTGATTAAATTTGACCCGGACTGACAAACAAAAACCACATTTCAGGTTTTTTAATACAAATCTTTATTAACACCTTCAAAATGGACTACCTTTGAGCCAATACAAACATGCCGACACTTGCTTTAAGCTTCAACGAATTTTGGTATTTGGCGCCATTCTCTAGATTGTTGACAACTTCGACGTCATACTCATAAACTCACGTCTCGTCTCCAATAATGATGCGTTTGATGAATGACTTCTACTCAACGCCATTTTTGCTAAAGGTTCAGGTCTTCTTTTGGTACGAATCCAGTATTGACACGCTTCATACCCAAAACATTAACCCAAATGAGTCTATAAGAGATGTTGAGACACTTTGCTATCTCTCGGATGTCAACACGATGATCATCAAGCACAGTTCCTTTAATTTTTTCTATGCTATCGTCAGTGTCAGAGGTAAATGGACGACTCGCATGAGGCAAGTTTTTGATGACTTCCACGATCTTCACTGAATGCTTTGCGCCACTCAACTACTTGTGTTTGTGATAAAGAAGACTCCCCAAAACCCTTTTTCAACATTTTGAATAATTCCAATTTTCTTTTTCAATCGCTAGAGAAACTTTTCGTGTCGTAAACAAACATCTGCCAACACTAATTGACATATGAAGATCAAACTTCACACGAACAAAGAAAAATGTTGTATCATCCTAGGAAAATTTTTTTATCGATTGAGTTTGCGCGCGCAGTTTAAATGACCTAGTTTGGACAAATTTTACTTTGAGTGTATTTCAATTAAACAAATTTAGGAATGCTGGATTGAAATTAAGTTTTTGAACATAATTTTTAAAAACCTTTTCGTTGGCTTCTCATATCTCAACAAATTTAATTCTATGCGATTTTCCTTAAATGGGTGTGGAATGTGACACAATTCGTTGCTTGCGTAATATAGAATTCAATTTAAATATGTATATTAAACCGTTTAAAGCTTTTCACGGAATAATTGCAATTATTAAAAATTATTTAATATTTTATTTTGTTCCACTTTCCTTTCATTTCGTAAGCATTGGGATCTTCCTCATAGTAAACAGATAATTTTCAAACACGAGTTTACATAGGTTAGTAAAAGGTTAATCGGTTGAATGTTGCATTTTCGATTATTTTGGACATAATTACCCAAAACAAGCTGAGCATTATCATTATTTATGTATATATATTTTCAACTTATATGTATGTATAATAAGATGACATAATTTCTAATTTATATAACATGTTTTGTAGTTTTGTTATTAATTATATTACTCAAATTAGAAGAATTAGAAGAAAATATTGAAATATACAGATTATTAACACATATATTATAAATAAACGAATTAATTAATAGTATTAATGATCATTGAAATATTCCAAAACTCAATTAAGACGCATTTTATTTTTTTAATAATTGAAGTTAATTATTTTTCTATTTCACAATCTGAACTAAGATTAAAACATTATTTAAAAATGTGATCTCATAAGGATTTGTGAAGCTCCTCACATTTCAATTATAATATTATTTATGATTTATTTAAATGAAATTTAAATTTCTTTGAAAAATCTAATTTTTGAAAACTAACGCCACCTTCTTCCCCCAGCGTCCGCAAACAATTCAACGTTCATCACGCCCACTCAACAAATACTCGCACAACATATTGCTGCATGTGAACGCCTTTGTGTGTAAGTTCCAAGAGGATTCCGATCTGCTCTTCACACTATTCGATGGCGAATCACACAAGCCGATAAGCGAGAATTATGTCGTCAAATGGTCGCGCACCGGCATTGCACGAGATATCGATCAATTCGATAATAATCGTGTACTCTTCACCGATCTCAGCAAAACCGATCTGAGTATACCGAAAATGTATCTTGTATGTTATGCGATACGTATTGGTGCCATGGAAATGAAGGAGCATGACTCGAAACGCGCCAGTATAACCACGGCCATGTTAACGCCATCAAGCAAGAAACACTCACAACTCTCGATCAGTTCGAGTGGTTCGTTCAATAGCACCGAGTATATCATGCGACGACCATTTGGTGTCGCCTGTAAAGATCTCACACCCATATTGCATAAGCCCGATGATTTCCGTGGTAATTTGGACTTACCATTTATGTTGTGCGAAAAGGACACGCTAGATGGCACGCTGCGCAAATTGATTGCTAATAAAGATATCGGCAAGATTGATTCTAAAATGGCTGTCACCATTGAGGTATTGCAGGGCGATATTAAACAGATCAAAGAGGATTTCCCACGCTTGCTACACACAAATGTGCCGTTAGCGCGTAAAATGGGCTTCCCTGAGGTGATATTGCCAGGCGATGTGCGTAATGATCTGTATTTGACACTTTGCGGTGGAGAATTCGCGCGCATTGCTAAGACATCGGAGAAGAATGTCGAGGTGACTGTGTACGTGTGCAATGAACAGGGACAAGTGGTGCCCGGTGTGATGAGCATTGGCCCGGGACATCCACCCATTGACGAATACAAATCGGTGGTGTATTATCATGACGATAAGCCCAAGTGGTTGGAGACCTTCAAGGTAAGATCAACAAGATTGTTGAGCAACTTTTCGTATTAGAATTCATATTTTCCTATATTTATTGTAATTTTAGATACATGTGCCGATAGACGAATTCAAGCAGTGCCATTTGAAATTTATTTTCAAACATCGCAGCTCCAACGAACAAAAGGACAAATCGGAGAAACCCTTCGGCTTGTCATATGTGAAGCTGATGCAGGACAATGGCACGACAATACTGGCAAGTCGACACGAGTTGATAATATAACGGAATAATAATTATTTTTTTGTTCTGAATATTAATAGCAAGGGCAACACATCCTGGCAGTGTACAAGATGGACCACAAGAAGTATGACAAAAAGAATGCAAATGTTTACATGGAATTGCCATCGACGGTTGGTGAATTGCAGGGCACCAAGCCATCGCTGGGCGGTTTGTCGCTGTTTCCCAAGGATCAGTTCACAATTTGCGTTAATTTATGCAGCACAAAACTAACACAAAGCGGTAATTATGATGAAAATTATGTTTACAGATTTACAGGGTGGTCCATAAGTGGATTTGTTTAATGCTAAAAACAAGATATAAACAATAATCATTTATTTTATTTTATTTTGAAGAACAAATATTCCAATTATTTATGAAAAAACAAGAAAAGATATTTTTTTAAATATTTTTATTCTAAAAAAACACCTTGTAATTTGAGTGTATTGTATAATTTTAATATATTTAAACTTTTGCATATTTTTTAAATGTAATAAAAATACCTTTAGTGAGCCTCTTGGGTTTGCTGAACTGGTCTGCGCATAAGGAAACACTGGAAGAGTCTTTGAATGCGCTTTCGAATGTGCCCGGCGAAGAAGTAGTGAAATTTTTGCAGGACATACTTGACGCTTTATTCAATATTTTGGTAAAAAGCTTTGGCTTTACCGCCTTTTGTTGCTTTCATGACACTGAAAATTTTGTCTTCCTTACACAGGTTGAAAATGACGATCCCGAACGCTACGATCAGTTGGTATTCATGAGCATTATACACTTAATCGAAACCGTATCCGATCTAAAATATCAGCATTTCCTAACCGTATTGGACGTGTACATAAATGAAAGCTTTTCAGCGACGCTGGCTTATAGGTTGGTGGCGCCTTTTTTTATTTTATTTTGCTATTTATTTTATTATTTAAAATTTTTTTTCTAAAATCGCAGTAAACTAATTAATGTGCTGCAGAAGAACATCAGAGAAGCCATCGAACCAAAGGAAAAGTCAGCCGACGGCATTGAGATCGAAGAGCGCGTGGAGGTGAAGCGTCTGTATAAAACCACCAGATATCTGCATTATGTGATTAAGTTTGTTATACGCTCGCGTGTACTTTTTGCGGCCATCAATGGCAATTCGGATTACGATGATTTTGCCAATAAGCTACATGGTGAGTGTAAACTTGTAACTCTTTCTAAGCATTATATTACATAACCACACTTTACTTACGTTATTAGAACTGCTGGAGATGTTTATCAAAATGATTGCCTGCCCCACCGATTTGTTGAAGTCCGAAGGCGCGTTGCTCAAAAATTTGCACATCATTGCCACGGATTTGATGGCGGTGTTCGATGAAGTGCGTCTAAGGTTTGTTTACAATAAATTTATATTAATGTTTACTATCCATTACACCTCTTTCCCTGCAGTAATGTGATTGTCAATATCTTGCGTCAATTCCCACCACGCCGCTTGACACAATCCAAAATGGGTTGCATTAAGGACTTTGTCGATTCCAGACTGTTTCTCTCGCCCGATTGCCGCGCGGTTTTACTGCCCGTCTTTTGCAATCACATCAAAGATCGACTCGAGAGCAAGGAAGAGGTAAATAACCTGCATTTTTAATTTACATTTTGTGTTTCGTTATATTCTTTGCATTTGTGTTTAAATTAATTTATCAATACTACTTTTCGCATAAGCAAAATACAAATTATAACATTGGCTCGCGTAAGGTGTTCATATTTTGCCCGTTAACTTTAACATTACCGTACATAGTTATGTGTTTTCGTCCATCTACGTAATCTAATTACATGCGTTTAACTTTTACTTTGCATAAGCTCATTTAAAGAATAAAAAAATTAATTAAATTACCAAATTTTACTTATTTAATTTACCTTAACCTCTATTTGTCACTAAAAAAAGCATAACTGTTAAAATTCATGAAAAATAAAATTCAAATTACATTTTAATATAACACTTCCATTTTAACGTAACAAATTGTACGAAATTTTGACTTTTCGACGTCAATGTTGTTAATTTTGCGAGTTCAAATAGTTGATGCAGGCATTCTTTAAACTTAACTATACAATATTTTTTTTTAACGAATATGTAATATTATAGAATGCATTTATATCTAAACAGCTCGGTATTAATAGCGTATGATATTTGTATATTCGTATGTATATTAATTTTAGCATGTTTTGTTTTTGTTTTATGTCCGTGTTTAATGCCTGTTTTTACAATATTTTTTTCAACATTTTATTATGCATTTTTGATTGGCATGTTTAAACCGCGCACAAATTTTTTAATTATTTTTAAATACCACGTTTTCCATTGGTTTTTAAATATATATTTTTTATGTATTTTTAATAAAATACTTGTAAATGTTTAGTAGTTGTTTCACAAATGTGGTATATGCATACACATGCATGTATGCTAACACTCTACTTTAGTTGAATGTTATATACAGTTAATAGTAATAATGTTAAAATATTTTGAAATATTTAAGTAGGGTTGTTTCTGCATATGAATGCGAAAATTTTAATGAAAAACACTGTAAATAGCAATTGGCATATGCACAATTTTACTGTAAGCACTGAAAGTATTACAAAAAATAATTTATACCAGGGTTATTTAATATCAATAAATATGAGGAAAAAGTGGCTTACCATTTCTTAAATGGATTTCAGGGAACTTAAAAGCCATTGTCATGTTTCGATTTTAGTCTATATATAGCTTTCGACTTTTGATGTTCATTTCAGACTTTTAACAAATTTTACTGCTATTGCGACATTCACCAAAATAAAATCTATACCTCTTCAGGGTATCTTCCAATTTGCTAATCTACGTTACAATATCGTTTCCGTCGTTTCGGGCGACTTTAATCTCTTTTTTTTATTAATTAAGATGAAGTGTTAAATTAAATTTAAAGTTAATTCCGAACTACGAGAATATAAAAGTTTTTATTACTTGTAGTTCTTATATAGAGCAAGCAGCAAAAAGTTACTAATTTGCCGGTGAACGATCAAAATCTCTTCCTTGTATGACACAATTTTTTATTTGACAGGATATTTTCACAAAATTTTGCATAGAATATTATCCCAAGCAGCGCTACAATCTCCGGAGAAGTGTTTCAAATCGAACTACTATAGCATATTGCTCCCTTACAAAGTGACTGATCAAAATCAAGTTCTTGTGAGGAAAACGTTTTTGTTTGACCAGATATCTGTAGACTATTGTTAAAGGCAACGCTTTAATCTCCAAACAAGTTTTTCAAATTGCATCACTATAGCATATAGCTAACATACAAACTGACCGACAAACATCAAGTTGTTGTATGGAAACTTTGATTTGTGAAGAGTATTCTAGCATTTTTTCTTAATTTTTGTTTTTTTTTTGTTTGTATTTTCACTTAAGTTTTTCTTAATATGTTATAGCTGTTAGTTCGGGCATGTCTCCTTATCAGACAATTTTTTTTTGTTGTAATTATTTGTAAAGCGTTTTAAGTACAAATTTTCATTTGATTCCTTAAGTGGTAAAGTCTCAATTCAATTCAATAAATATATTTTTCTGTGATGTTAATTTAGTTCATTCGTATTTGGGGTGTAAATGTTTTTGTTTATGTGTTTTATCTGCGTTGTTTGGTGTAGTTGTTGTGCACGCAGTGTAGTGTACTCTAGCAAAATCACATTATCACCAGACACATAGCTACATCCATATGTAGTTACATGCATTTGTAGCACATGTGTGTGTGTAGCTAATTGTGTTTTCACGTTTGCCACCACCCATCATAATCACCATCATCGATATATCACAACATTAAACCTCAATTATTCACAAAAATCATACACTCATTTGTCACATGCATCCTTGTTATTCATACAAACATAAATATATACAAAATATTTCATTCATAAAACTTGGTTGTAGTTTCTTCATTCATTTACATTTTCGTTTGTGTGCAATTTTTTTTCAATTACTAGTAACTAGACATAGCTCTTTCTCCTTTAAGCATCATTGTAACTACACAGTGCTTACTCAGTTAGCGGCGACAATAAAAACGTCTCACCTCTTCATTGGAATGTTCACACGGTTCACCGCACATAAATAATTCTAATTTTAATATATCTTTTGTTGTAATTTTTTTAAATTCATATCTACAACATTGTTTTTTCTTAAATACAAACTACAATTTGCATTTAAGTGTGTCACTAATACACACACTCACTTATATACTAGCACTTGGTGCACTCAAAAAATCTATGAAATTCTTTAAAACAATTGATTCACATACAAACATGCACACAACTACACATTCCACTATATATTTTTGTACATTTGTTTTTTTTTTTTTATATATATTCATTTCTTTTTGTTTTACGTTTACCTACTCGTTCGTTAATCTATTTGAAACACTTTTGTGTATTATTCGCTTTCTGCAAAATGTTTGTGTATCGAATTGTCTAGGGTGACTCGAAATCTGATATATGGCAACAAGAAAAGAATCTCTCGAAAGCAGCTAAAGTCCTCGGACAGTTAAAATCACATCTGCACACGCGTGAAACAACTGCCAAACAAAAGGTAAAAATAAAAACAACAGTAAATTACTAAATGCAAAAAGCAATAAATTTAAACGACATTCAAAAAGACAAGAAAAACTAAATTAAATTAAACACTGAAATACATTTAAGGGGTATTATCCACTTGCAAGTCAGAAAAAAAAGTTATTTTGCAGTTTTTTTTAAGAGAAATTTTTCTTAATTAAAAAATTACAGTAGAGTACTTTTAACAATACAATTTAACGTATTTCAATAATCAATGATTAATTTTTAAAAATTTTGCACTCCTTGCTGCCTGTCTTCGGGAGAACTTCCGAAAAACGGTGTCTGGCTTTGAGAAAGATGTGTCTGCTTAAAATTAACACAAATCCTGAAACCCAAAAAAATTATTATTACTATACTTGTAGAGCAACACAGGAAATGATCGAAGGACTGTTAAAAATCTTGATTTTCGACGGCTTTCCAAAAAAAACTTCGCTATTTACACTTCAGAGTGGCTTAAAAAACGAAATTGTTATCAATGATCTTCTCCTTCTACTATTACCTGACAAATACATTCTAAGAAGGTCGTGTGAAAATTTCAAGTCGATCGGTCCAGCCGTGTCGGAGAAATTTTCCTCACCGACTCGTAGAACACTCAATAACACTTCGAGAAAAACGCGTTGGAAATTTTGAAAACCGATTACACTAAATTAAAAAATTCTACAAAACATGCTCATATCTCCGAAATTATTTGTCGTATCAGATATATGCGAAAAAAATCGATGTTTTTAAATTCACAAGTGGATATAACCCCTTAAGTCGTAGAGAAAAGTAGAAAAGCAACAATAGCAACAGCAACACTAAGTATTAGAAACACACACGCGTTTGCGTCCAGCAGCAAATGCGCAGCAGGTGTTAGTGGATGGTTGTGTGTGGATTTATGCAATACTTTCTTTTATTTTCGTTTTTTTTTTATTGATGGTGTGCGCTTAAGCTTATATTGTAACTCCATTACACTTTGTTTGTACTTTTCATTCATTACCGTTCAATTTAGACGTAGGTGGGTTTGTGAGTGTGTACGTCCACTTTTCCTCACCACACAAGCAAACATACAAACATTCGTATAAAATTTCGTAAGCAACAGGAAATTAAGTTTTAGCAGTAATACACACATACATGTACACTTCTATGAGTAACTGTGAATTGTGGCACTTGGCGAGGATATTTTGATATTTTTATTTTAAGTTCTCAACAACGCTTTCAGCAAGTGTCAACTTTATGGTAACCAACCGAGTAATCAATGCCAAATGCTTTTAATATATACATACATATATACCTACTCGTATGTATCTAGCGCATAGCATTTTGTTACTATTGTCTTTAGCAGCTTATTATAATCCATAGTTATTAGAATTTAAAAAAATATATTATTTCTTAAAATTATTTTGTCAGCTTGGCCTTTATTTAAACTGTGCTTACTTGTTTTAGCGCTTTTATAAATAGTTGTAAGTGTTTTAAAATATATTTAACTTTGAAAAAAGCTTAACAAGTAATATAAAAACATTTGAAAATTGTTGCTTATTTCAATATTTATTTCTGAACATATTTTAAGAGCTCTTCGTAGAAAATTTAGTATTCATTAAGTACATCAACTTTATATAAGAAGATCTCAATATATTTATAAGTACGCACATACCTGTTATTTCACAGGAGCAGCTATGCAACAAACTTTGCATCGTATGGTGGGTTTTTTTTTTACATTTTCTGAGAAAAGTTACCATAGTCTTGTACCTACCATCAGAAAATATAGATTTCTGTGTAACAAATGAAAAGTTTCACTGAAAATTAGGTTCCTTTTCCAATAGGAGTAAAAAAAAATATAAATATATATAAATTATATATATATAAAAGTTGGTTATTTGAATTTCCCAATTAATTTTTGAGGTTATGTAAAAAAGTGAAAAGAAAAGTTGTAGGTCTTTTTACAATCTACAATTTTGCCAATAAACTATTTTCCATAGGATATGTAGTTTTTTCGAAAATCGTGATAAACCATTTTTTATCCTAAAAAATTCAACCACCAACCTCCCTTTGAATTTTGTTATTTCTCTATCTTTTCCAATATGTTTCGTCCTATTATTATTTTTTTACTTTTTACTATTTTTAAAGGTTCCGCTCTGGTCTATAATAAATATTGACATTCATTTTCCTCATTTTTACTTTTTCGCACATGGCAACACTGTTCTCAAATATGTTAAAATTTAAAACTTTGGGGAAAAATATGGTTACAATTAGTACATACTTTGTAAAATTTTAAGTTTATTTTTTCATTAGTGGCAACTTTGTACCAAAATTTTTCCAAATTAAATGTTTATATAAACATTTCGGATGGCATTATTTAAAATTTCGCGACGCGTAGTCAAACAATTTTTACAATATTTTCGCCAATATAGTTTTTCATTTGATAACTACTCTTATTTAACATTATTATATTTAACCTTTTTGTTGGGTCCTATGCTCCAACCGGAGTTAAACGAAGTACTATATATGTTTATATATATATGTTTGGTAATGTCATTTAAGGGCACCAGGGGTCAAATTTAAGCCAATAACTTGGACACCCATTTATATTAACAAATTATAGCTATAACGTGTGCCCTTTTAAAGGTTCAATAAACATCAATATTTATGTATGAACGGGTCTTTTTAGATATCGGTTAATTTAGAAAAAATTTTCCGCTGTCTAGTAAAATATTTTATATAAAAAATTACTCATAAAACATAAAATAACCTGTACGATTTGAGATTTTGGAGAGAAATTATTTTTTATAGCAGCTCTTCATATATATTTTAAATAATGCTTAGGAAAAGGTACTGTTTACAAATTATTTTTCTAAATTTGCTTAATGATTATTGAGAGTCATCATATAAAATTTGTTAGGCTAGGTTGAGTATGAAACAAATTGCAAGAAGTATATAAACAAAATTAAAACATAATTATAAATAATAACGTAATTGCAATTAATTACTATTACGAATCAGAAATTACTGTAGACTAAGGAAGATATTTCAACTGAGAACAATATAAAATAAAAAGCGCTTAAAGCTAGATTATATTACACTAATTTTTATTCAAAAATTGTTTCCTATATTAAAATTGCTTTCTTCGCCATTTCAACTCTCGCAACAGGTGAACGAATGTATCGTGATCATGAACAATATACTGCGCCTGTTGTATCGCAAGGACATCGGCAAGACGCACAACGACGTGCGCGACATAATGCTCATCCTGCTGCGCACCATAATCAAAACCTCGCACGCACTCGATCGTGAAAATCAATTGGTTGGCAATTTGGTGGCCATTATGTTGGGCATACTGCAGCGCATGGATGCGGCCCATTACGAAATCTTCGTACGACATTTGAATAATCGTTTCGAGCTGCAGGACTTTATTATTGAAATATTGCTCGTTTTCGAGGAGCTCGTGTCGCCACATCAGAAGCCAGTATTTTCACGTGATTGGATGGATATGATAATGCATCAGAATACTGTTATATTGCGTTCATTACAACACATTTCGGTTGTGATTATCGATCACTTCTTCGATCCATTCGAGAAGCAAGTCTGGTCGAATTTCTTCCAATGCTCCATAGCATTCCTCATACAATCACCGTTACAATTGAATGATTTCAACGATAATAAACGACAAATCATATTCGCACGTTATCGTGATATACGCAAGGACACAGCGCATGAGATACGTAAGATGTGGTTCCAATTAGGCGAACACAAACCGAAATTCGTGCCACAACTAGTGGAGCCGATACTCGAAATGAGTATGATACCTGAAGTGGAGTTGCGTAAGGCCACCATACCGATATTTTTCGATATGATGCAGTGCGAGTATTACAGCTCAAAAATGCTGCCAAACAGCTACGGCGATACGAAACGCAATAATGCGCATCACAAAGCGAACTTTAACGAATTCGAAACGGAAATGATTGAGAAGCTCGACATACTAATTGGGGCGGGTAAGTACCTAGAAGTCCATGAAAATTTTCTATAAATATAATATATGCTGCCACTCATTTATCTCATCGTTTCCAGGCAAAGGCGACGCCGAGTACAAAGAACTTTTCCACAGCATACTGCTGGAGAAGTGTCAGGCGCACAACACGCTTAACATAGATGGCACTAAGTTCGTGAACATGGTGACAAAACTCATGGAACGTCTGCTTGAGTATCGCTGCATTATACAGGATGAGAGCAAAGAGAATCGCATGGCTTGCACTTTTTCGCTCTTACAATTTTATTCGCAAGTAAATCGCAAAGAGATGTACATACGTTATGTCTACAAATTGTGCGATCTACATATGGAGTTCAACAACTGCACCGAGGCGGCCTTCACGCTCAAACTACACACTGAATTGCTGCAGTGGAACGATACTGAATTGTCACCACTCTTGCGCTCACACCGTCATATGGCATGTCGCACACATCGCGAGCTCAAAGAGGCGCTCTACTATGAAATCATCGACTACTTTGATCGTGGTCTGATGTTCGAGTGCGCCATCGATATGTGTAAAGTGCTGGCGCAGGAGTATGAGAATGAGATTTACGACTATTTGAAGTTAGCCAAACTCTTGGTGAAGATGTCACAGTTCTTTGAGAAAATATTGAAAGAATTTCGCCACACTTCAGAGTATTTCCGTGTTTGCTTCTATGGTTTGGGCTTTCCACGTTTTCTACAAAATAAAGCCTTCATCTTCCGCGGCGAGAACTATGAGCGTTTGAGCGATTTCTGCTCACGCATTTTAGCGCAACATCCACAAGCCGAACTCATGCAGACGCTGGAGTTGCCCGGTGAGGATATAACGCAGGCCGACGGGCAATTCATACAGGTGAATAAGGTGGAGCCGGTAATGAATGAGAATTGCACCAAATTCGAGGGCAAAATGGTGTCGAGCGAAATCGTAAAGTATTTCACATCGAATAATGTGCAAAAGTTCCAGTTTTCAAGACGCTGCGAAAACATTGGCGGCGGTCCGGACGATGTGTGCAATCTATGGCTGGAAAGGATTGTAATGACGACAAGCTTTCCACTGCCGGGCATACTGCGTTGGTTCCCCGTAATGGAAACAAAGAAATTCAAAGTGAGACAATAAATTAAAAAAAAAAAAAATGTAATTTATTAATTTTCAACTCTTTGCACTACAAACAACAGATTTCACCAATTGCTTTGGCCATTGAAACAATGAAAAAAAAGAATAAGGAAATACGTGACCTGATCATCGAACATCGAAATGATGAAACATTGGATATAAAAACGTTGAGCATGAAAATCACCGGCATTGTCGATCCAGCCGTGATGGGCGGTTTCAGCAATTATGAGAACGCTTTCTTGACAGACGATTATTTGGAGGATCATCTAGATGATAGGCATTTGGTTGAAGAATTGAAAGATCTCATCGCATCACAAATACCGCTGCTTGAGATTGGTACTTTTAAATTTTTTATTAAAAAAAAATAAAATAAATAATTTAACGCTCACTTAACCACTCTTCAGCCATTACACTGCATAAACACCGCGCACCGGACAGTCTGAAACTCTTCCAAGAGCACATGGAGCAATGTTTCGCCGATATGCAGGCGAATGTGGAGAGTAAATATGGCAAGAAAGTAAGTTAGAATAGCATTTTTTTTCGAATTAGATTTATATTTTAACGAGCGTACAAAATTTTTGCCGCAGACATGTGACTTAAAGTTGGATCGCGAGTCAGTGATTATGCGTCGCAATGGTTCCTTTATGCCGGGCATGTTCGAGGGCAACAATCGCTTGTCGGAGACGAGCATGGGCTCTTCAGAGTAAGTATTAGCTGTGAAGCTAGACGCAAATTTGTAAATATAATATATAATATATTCACGCTATCATCTTTATATACCCAAACGCAGTAGCGGCTTGTCGAAATCTACTTCCTCGACACGACCACAAACCAGTTCGATAAAATCAACATTCGCGTTTAATTTCACTCAAAGGTAACGTAGTAATGAATATAAAAAAATTAATTGCATGTAATTGTAGGAAAAATAGACAAATAATTTGAATAACACTTACTATATAAGTAACTGACCCAACCAAGCACGCACCATATTTCCTTATAAATATATAAATACATATATATGCACACACATACACAACTATGAAATTGCTAGTCATTGAACGTTTTACTAATCAATTAAATTCCAATTTTCAATTGTTCTTTATGCTCTGCATTTTTAGTTTAAAAATCTAATTTATTTAAAGCAAAATTTTGTATTATTTTTTTAAATTTGCGGTAAATTATTTAATTTTAAATTTTAACATTTTCTAACTAAATCTTAAATTTTCATTTTGTTACATTTACCTCACATTTCTGTTGTTGATTTGATTTGTTTTCCTCCATTAGTTTGCACTCTGATTTCTTTATTTTCCGATTTCCTATTTGGTTTTTTGCTTATTTTTGCAATGTTCGCTTTTTCGTTTCCATTTTTCTCTCTTTCGTACCTCAACAACATCCACAACAATATCAACAGACCTAGCCTAGGCCATTCGCCCAGTACAAAAAGCAAGTGTAAAGAGAAAACGCCCTCAAAACGGCGCTCAATGAAAAAGGTTTGTGAATTTTGTTGCCTCGCTTGGTGGTTTTATGTGCCACAAAAAAATTATTTATAATTAATTTTTTAATATTTTTATGTCATAGTTGGATCGTGAAACGCTAAGTTTACCAGTAGCCAACAGTAAATTTTATACACAGCCGTTATCAACCATAACCTCAACGCCCGAACGCGAATCAATAACATCAATAGCATCTATAACAAGCGCATCAAATTCTTCATTGACAGCCAAATCGCCGGATCCAAAAGTGTTGACACAAGAGGTGAGTGTTAGAAATTGCCGATATCGGACCACTATAGATATAGCTGCCATATAAACTAAACGATCAAACTCAAGTCTTTATATGAAAAACTTTTTTATTTGACAAAATATCTACACGAAATTTGGCATGGATTATTGTCTAAGGCAACGCTACATATTCCGAATAAATTTTTCTGATCGGACTACCAAAGCAGCAGCATTTAACGTTTTTTGTGGTTTATCCATTTCAAAATTAAATTTATTTGAAAATGCTGTTTTAAATTTAAAAATCGATATTTCTCCAATTTCTTTCAAAGCGATTTCTTTATTTTCAACTTTATTGATATATGTATTCTTCTTTACTCCTTAGTTAACGACAAAGCGTCCATTACGCTCTGAGAAAGACAAAGAACGTCGCATGTCACGTCCTGCCAGTATAGCCACACCCACAACCGGTATGAAAGGATTCTCCAGCACAGATGTACACTCGCTGTCAGGAGCTGACAGCAGTAATCGGAATTCAGTTGGTGAGTCCTGGGGTTTAAAAATATTAAAAGTAAAACAGTAGTTCTTAAAAATAGACAATTTGAAAAAAAATAAACTGAAATAAGCACCACAGTTAATTTTGCAAATTATCTCACTTATGTACCAATATTTGCGGTATAAGGCAATAGGGGATAAGCGTATTATTGACCCGATTTGGTCTATTTTTGGCATTGCTACATATTATTAACAAAAAAACATGTTCTCTGAGTTTCATTAAGGTACATCACTTAGTATCGCCAATATATGAGTATAATGAGGGAAGTCAACAAGATATTAGTTATATGGGGTCTAGGGCAAGCTTCACCTGATTTCATCTATTTTAGGCACAAAACTACACCATTGTTAGAAAAATACGTTTGTCGATATAAATATGTGTTATAAAGTCAGCCGGAAGTTCGAAAATCTTTATTTTAGGTATATGATGACTTAGGGAAATATTAACCCAATTCAATACAATATTGTGGCATACATACATACTATTATCAGGAAAGTATTCTCTCCTAATTTCAATTATACCATATATCTCACATAATGACCGTCATAGGCTCTGGGGTCCACATTTTCGGTATCTGGGGGCTTTAATAGTTTTGATACTTGGTACTATTCGTGCAAATTTTTATCCGAATACATTGATTGCCTCTTGTTTTGTATACTGGAAAGTAAACGTAATCAGCTGTGTGAGTCAGTGTGATTCCACTCATTTTGGCACTGTATCGTAGTAATATTAAGATAATATTGCCTACCGAATTTGGTTGAAATCGGTCGAGTAGGTCCCGAGATATGGGTTTTCACCTAAATGTGGGCGGTGCCACGCCCATCGTCTCTTTTTGACCCTGGCTTCTATTTTATAGCCGTACCATCTCTGGTGTAATATTTAATTGATTATTGATTTATCGCGCTTTTAGTAGAACCGTTATATGGGGAGTATCATCCGACTTCATAAATTGTTACAGAGTCGGTAGGGGTGCTTTAAGAATTTGTCCTGAGCGAAATTGGTTATTATATCTTAACCGGTTTAGGAGATTTGTATATTAAACCTCTAAGGCCTGGCCACGTGTACCTAGTATCATTGGGATATCACATTTTTACTCAAGTTACAGCTTCCACGGACGGACGGACAGACAGACAGTCACTCGGATTTCAACTCGTCTCATCATCCTCATAATTTATTGTTACAAATAGATAACTCCATATCTATTCCGATTAGTTTAAGGTGATACAAACAACCGTTAGGTGAACGAAACTATTATATTCTGTGGCAACCTGTTGCAAGAGCATAAAAATGTGGCCTTGGTAACCGCTATTCGCTATTTGGAAAGTTTATTGTCCGATTGTAGACCCAATGCCAATTTAAACTAAGTTTTCATACTGTTTGAAATATCAATTTTAAAGTCACCTTAGGTATAGAATTTGGATACTTTTTATATGGGGTATAAGTCTTTAATTTTACATTTTTTCTAACTATCCCATGTATGATTAACAGCCCACATATTAAGCAATAATGTTCGGTACATAGGATATACATCGTTCTTGGAACATAATTATCTCATACTAGTGAGACTATAAACAATTTTATTTCGATATCTTTCTTCAGGTTTAATGAAAATTCAATAATCTGTTGAAACATGTTTTATGTAAATTAGATTTGAGCGTAGATCAATTCTGACTTTTCTCAAATTTTTTATAAAACGTGTCGTCAGACATGAACATTTACCTAAAAGGGGCGGTGTCTCGCCCCTAGGTCAATTTTTGAACTTATCCTCTTGAAAACTACTATAGTTTTGCATATATTTCGGAATTGTTTCAATTTTTATAATACCGGAAAAGTAAATAATTTTTTTTGTTCATTAAATTTTGTTTTATTTATTAGAAAACTTGCTTGAGACTTTTTATTTAAATTATATTGTGATTATTAAATTTTAAAATTTTTATAATAATTTTCCTATTTTGGTAATAATTATTATCATTTTTCAGATACAGCAGATTCCACATCGGAGGAGGATCTCATACCGCCACCACTACCAGCAAAAACACGTGACTCCACCGACTTTAGCAGTTTTACTTACAGCATGGATTTCCCCATACCGCTTATTAGTCCCTACATACAAACCACCGTTACAACCACGCAACACACCAGTATTTCAAATAGCTCTTACGAATATGTGGAGGCCAAAAATTTCGTGCTTACTGAAAAACGGCCACCCACACCGCCACCAAAACCCTCGCGCAATAGCAAACACATTCCATAATTTGTGGGTGATAAGCAATTATGTATGAAGTCCGAACTGCTAAACGAAAAAGGGAAAATATGAAAAAAGGAATATACAAAGCAGTAAAGTAATTAACGCAGTGAAAGTGAAGCCATAATCAAAATCGATATTTGAGTGCGTGTAAATGTGTGATTGCATGGCGACTGCAGAGCAAATGTAAATGGTCAGTTGTCTGGCATACATCTGTAGAAAAAGAAATAAAAATAAAGTCCAAACTAGAGGAACTGATGCGTAAACGCAGCAATACTAATAAACAAGTGCCAAAAATATAATATTTACAAAAAACATAAATAATTGGGCGGAGGTGTGCCTTTCGTCTGACCGACAACAATGTACTAAATAGCAACGAGAGCAACCGAGCGTGCGCTGGCAATCATTTGCCAGACACACTATTGTTAGTGCGAAACGAAAGCGTTTAGCGTTGAAAGCAGCAATATATTTATGTAATTTAATATAGTAAACGATATTAAGTTTATATTGAACTTTGTGATTCAATTGCAAAATCGTTTCGGCTTCAACAAATTTCTTTAGTTATAACTACTTGTCTTCCTAACTTAACTAAACGCACACATAGACAAGTAAGCGATATTTACTTTATATATATATACTTACGTATATATCTTTATATGTACATATATTTATATGCATTTTATTTATTCTTTTAATTATTTAATTTAATATCAGGCCAATTAAGCACTTCGCTGCGAACAAAGTGCTCACAACTGAGTTGATATTAATTTCGCCGTGAACTTTTATTATTGTATGTACGTGTATATGTACAGTAATTATGATGTGATTAGTTATAATAAGTCGACTACCACGAGCCAATTAAGGGTTCAAAAAAACACACACACGCACAAATATCGAACTGAACTTATCGCAACATAATTTCAGTATTCGTTGCTAACGAAGTCGAGTTAAAATAATGTTAAATGAAATTTTTAAATAGCAAAAATTTACAAAAAGCCTTTTTTTAATACGAAAATAAAACTTACAAAACAAAAATATAACAAAAAACGAAAAACATTTGCACTTTTTAATAAAAATAATATCTACTTTGTTATAGCTTATGACAGAAGTGCCACTGTATATCGAAAATTTTGTTATTCAAAACAAACAGAGACACTACTTATACAAGTACATACATATATACATATTTACATGTGCAACTATTTTGAAATTATACAAAATCCAAAAACCAAATTTTATAACTTGACGAAATTTAAGAGAAAAGCCCGTAAATAGCAAATTGCATAACTACAAAACTACATATATGTATTCAAATAATGTAGGCCGGCATTTTATTTGAATATTTTCGTTATGATATAGCAAAATATGTACCAAATAGTTTTTAAGAAGCTGAAATTTTTTATTACGTAAGTATATTTATACGTTATGAACAAAGCGAGTTTTTAACACATTTATTGTGTACTTTATACACACATATGAAATAGCATAAAATTTACAATTTTTATAAAAAGAAAAACTAACGTTAACGGTAAATAAGCGAAAGTCAACTTATTACAATTGTTTCCGTAGCATGTGTAAATTTTTAATTAAATTTTTTTGTTTTTACTCTGCTAAGAAATGCAATAAGTGTTGCCTTATCTTACACACAGAGCCACACGAGTATATGTGTGTGCATGTGCATTTTTAATTTAAATAATTTTTCGCTTTATAGTATTTTAAAACTTATCATTCACAATTTACTCAAAAGTATCGTATAAGTTACTATTCAATTTCGTTTATTTGTCAATTTCTGTAATGACAACTCAATTATTACATACGTACATATAAACTTATATACCTAAATGGAAATTGGCAGGAGCCGCAATCTTTGTTTAATGTAATTATTATTTTTTTAATTAATATGTTCACCAAAGATTTATTAAGATTAAATAAAATGTCAATTCACTTACATGATAAACAGTAAACGTTTGTGTGTTATTCTGTGGAAGATAATTATTAAGTATGTCTTTTAAAAGGTTGAGGTATTGGTCGGATCATCAAAGTGGTATAACTACTCGCTATTCTGCCGCTATACTATGATTATGCCAGTTTATTAGATGCGTACCAGTTTGTGTTCGTTTCACACTCTGCAATTTTTAGTAAACCGAATGAGGAATTATTAATTAACGATTTACCGGGCATTGCCAATTTTCGTTATGCCAGTTTTTTTGATTTATACCAGTTTTTTCTCGATTCACACTCTCCAATACTTAGCGAACTGAATAAAGCTATTTTTAGTTAAAACGATTAGTTGGCTACATTCAAAGTTGACGCTTTTTAAATTCAGTTGATAAATACCTGTATTGTTCTTAAGCTTAATATTCTTGTTTTTTATAACCTGAACAGGCATGTCGGACACCCTATAAAATATATACATAAATGATCAGCATGATGAGCTGAGCTGATTTAGCCATGTCCGTCTGTCTGTATAATACGTGAACTAGGTCCATCAGTTTTTAAGCTATCGATCTAAAATTTTGCACCTGTCCTTTTCTCACTAAGACGTTGCTTATCTGTCAGAACGGCCGACATCGGAGCACTTTAGCATATAGCTGCCATATCCACTGAACAATCGGAATCAAGTACTTATATGGGAAACTTTTTTATTTGGCGTAATATCTTCACAAAATTAGGCAGGAGTTAGTTCCTAAGGCAACAATGTAATCTCCGTAGAAATTGTTCAGATGAGATCATTATATTATATAGCTGCCATTTGTATCTGTTAAGAGTATGATAGCTTTGGTGCAACCGAAGTTAACGTTTTTCTTGTTTTCGTACAATACCTATGACAATTTTGATATTTGATTGCAGCATGAGGCTTCAAACATTTCAGAAAATAAGTTGGGGGAATATTATAGCCTGCGCCTTCAGAGAATCTCTTTCAGGGTATAAAAATATTTACAATTTTGCATATAATACCTCACTGAGAACTTAACATTTTTAAAAACTAATTAGAGGATGTTTTTTCCACCGCAGTCATAACAACAACACATACTTGTATGAATGCATTATATGTATATATTAGACTTATATAACTAGTAAAAAAATATATAATTTTTGCATTAAATTGACGGATTTATTTAGCTTAGTTAGAGTCATCAGATATAGCTCAAATATGGACCGATTCGTTTGAAAATTTGTTCTAATTTTGAAGTTAGTTTCATAATGCCACTTTCAGAGAAGACCTCATCCCTATTGGAAAAAACTGAGAAAGTAAGTAGATTTTCACAAGCTGCTCTTGAGGGTAATTTTTCACCAGCAATATCATTCGCCTTAAACAGCAACTGAAAGTAATCACTTAATGCTAGATCCGGACTATGAGGTTGCCCCAACCAAGCTCCCGGAGCTTCTGGCAGGTCACTGTCTCGATGTACTAAAATGCCTCTTCTATTGGCCAAAGCAGGCAGCTTCTGGGCGATTGCTTTCGCCAGACGGTCCAATCAGGATTTTGACCATAAGCACCTAATAGTATTTCGATGCTTTTCTGCCAATCCTACCATACATATAAAACCTTTCTCGGCCACCGTTTGCAGTTGCTTAACGGGATACCATTCGCTTCAGAAATGGAGCGATTTTGCCGCGATTCAGCAACGCTTCGTAGGCGATACCATAATCGCACGCGTATGGCTGTTACAGTATTAAGAAAATAAGCACTATTCACTATTAGGAAATATTATCTTTCTAACGTCATATAGCGTAACCCGACCGGTGTTACGCACTTTCATAACGCGAGATACATATTCTAAAGCCATCTTTTGAAAAATAATAATAATAGAAAATGTATTTTATTGCTGGATAATTTTTTAATTTTATTAAAAGTTAATTGAGATATATAAAGTGTACATATTAAAAAGTTGAACACATAAAATAAAAGATCATGTCTGTAAGTGTTTAAAATTAAGTAAGCGTGCAAAAAAGTTATCGCTGCCAAAAGTTAAGTGATTTAAATACGTCGATATGAGTTAGAAAGAAGTAATATTAAGTTTAGAAGTAGATTAGAGGCAAGATTTAAGAAATCAATTTATGGATATTAAATGCTTATAATGGCAATATGGTTCGAGTAAACAATATGACTTTTACGAAGATTAACGTGAGACCATTGCGAACACGAAAACATAATCTCAATATATTAAAATTTTTGCAGGTTAGGATGTTGGATTTGATTTTACAATAACGATGCTAAAATTATGATAAATTAGTATAAATTGTATATGTAAAAATATTCATCGATTTCGTGATTTGTTTTGTTTTTAAAAATTCAAAAATAATAATAATTTAGTTAAAGGGCACACCTAGTATGAAATTAAAAAAATAAAATTATTATTTATAGGTTATACCTTTAAAAATAACATACTACAAAATTGTTTAATAATATCTCCAGTAGTTTTGAGTTACAGCGTTTTGCATTGTAGCTCATCACTTTATTTTCAAACGTAATTTTCTCAAAAATTTTTTCATTGACGAAGAAAGCCGAAATCAAATAGTGGAAGAGCTTTTTTAGCGTCGTCGGAGATTGAAAAATATTTAACTTTCATATTTATTAATTGGTAACTCAAAAAATATTTAATTTTAGCTTCAAAAATTTTACTTAAAATATATATGCATAATATATATATACATAAATATATCCTTAAAATTTAATGCAATATATACTTTTTTTGAACTCCTAATAATCGACGTTTTTAGGCTGTCACACACTAGGTGTGTCCCTTAGAGGTTAAACTTTTTTTTTCATAAAAAAAAATATATATATATAAGTGTAAAAAAAATTTGCATTTACTAATTTTTTAACAAGAAATTTGCAACAGTTTTTAAACAATTTCCTAAGGAAGCAGAATGTTTTTTATAAAGAGGTATGTAGGCGAAAGCGCTAAGCGTTAAAGCACAAGGGTTGGTGTATAAATTTAGTCACAGACGAGTGATAGATATAATAAAATAAATAGAATTATAAAAGGAAAAGTGAAAAAGCCTAAGTAAATGAAAACATTAATTACTGTCAAAACTGGCTTGAAAAATCTATAAGTTTTCAAATCTTCGTTGACTTATTTCATCGTTGTACACATACATGTACATATAAATATATTATATAAGAGCTGTCAAGTTGAGCGAAAGGCACAAATACTCGTACATTTTAGATCTAATAAAAAAAACTTTATCAAAAAGTGCATACATATAAATTTATACACACACACATACAAATACAATACGCATAGAGTGTCTAAAATGTAGGTTTCCAAAAATGGTCAGTTAATAAAAAAATATATATGCGTGTAAGCATTTGTGTATATAGGTGAACAATCAGTAACTAATACTACTACAAGTACAAATACAGGGGCGGCGGGCACAGGTGCCGTTTAAAATTTCATATCGATGCAGATTTTCGAGTTGCGATTCTGCTTCTGACTTATCTCTAAGACTTGAAACATTTCCTGAAGTGCTTCGTTTGTACGCGTTTTGCGGCGATTGCGACGCAAGGTGACACGACCCGACTTGAATTCATTCACTAGAGCGTCAAGACCTGTGTGAAGAGAGAAATTCAAATGAGAAATTATTACAAAATGTTTCAAATGACAGTAAATATTTATTGGTGGCAGTTAGAGCCATCGTGTGTGATAGATATAATGTGTTTTAATTACATACACATTGATATTTTACAACTATGTTATCCCATATGACATGAGTAATGTTAAAATTGTTATTTTATTATTAATTATTGGCAAAGTAATTATTTGATATACTAACAGCTTTTAAATGTTATTTACAAACATAGAATGAATTCAATCTTAAGCTGAGGACATAGCGCAGCGTAGAGCAAAGTAGCGATGAGAAGAAAAGAAATGTAAACAAAAAGTGCGACTGCGGCGACATAAATGTAATGAAGCTGCTGCTCATGACCGTTTAACCGATTACTCCATTATATTATATTTACAGAATTTACAATACTTAGGTTCAATCAGTGAATAAAGTACACATATATACATATGTATAAGGTGATTTTTTTGAGATATAGAATTTCCTAGTGGGGTAGCTGTCAAACCAGTTGTCAAAATTAAGTGCGTTTGTTATTTATATTCTGTAAAATTTGGCAAATTAAAATTTATTGACAGAACTGTTTAATTAAAAAAAAAGTGGAGCCAACGATACCGGCGTTGCTCGGACATTCGGCCCATTATTAGAATATTAAGGAAGTGATGCAATACCAGAGGCTGGTCTTCCAAAATGCAGACGCGATGGTCACATGCCTGAAATTTCGTTCAAATACTAAAAACCAAAATTAAATTAAAAATGTTCAGAAGTTTTATATCATTTAAAAGATCCTTTAACAATTTTTTAAACTGATGCGGCCGAAATTAACTTAAGTTCTAAGAAAAAAACTTTGTTATGCTATTTTCTATGTCAACAAGCAGCTATAAAATTCCTTATAAAGGAAAAATCATAATCAGCTATTATCTGGCCAGGTGATTTCGAACTTCATTCAACTTGGAGGATATGCCTCCATGATAATTACCACAAAACCAGAAAACCTCAAGTGGAGTATATTTCTAAGTTTGACAAGGAAAAATGTTGACAACCATTTGAGGATTTCCTACATACGCAGTAATTAAAAAGAATATCTTATTTTTCTAACAATATCTAATTTCCGATCTAATAAAAGTGGTAGGTCTTACGCAATCACTGAGAAACCTTCGAGTGTATTATTAATACAATAGGAAAGAATTCTTAAGTAGAACAAACCATAAAGACAACCCAAACGAGTGGGTTTATATTGGGTGGATGATTTCCAATCGAATAATCGAATCGGTACATTATCCCTGTTTCGGACAAAGTTGTGAGAATACTCAAGCAAATAAACTTAATTATGTCCTGAACAGGAGAGCCTTAAAAATAATTCATATTTGGCATACAATATTGTTCATTGCAACGC